CTTATCTAATCAATGATGGGAGACTTCATGAGAGGGGTGGAAATTCACAGCAACTATTCACCTGAATGGGAGCTGAAGAGTCTATCTTAAAAAATGTGTGATTTTTTAAATGAATGTCTTGAAGGCTATGCATTAAAATATACAAGAGTAAGCAGAAGGATGCCTTTTCTTTCATCTTTGGCTCTCTGGTCAACCGAAAAGGCCATCCCCATCCTGTGAGAACACCCTTTAAGTTAACATCAACATATTAAATTTTTTAATTCCTATTTTATACCATATCTTAAATTTTGCCTACAAAATCTGATGTGTGCTATTTTTCTTTGCAGCCAAATTTCTTGAAAATGCTCAGGAATAGATCTAATGTTAAAAAAAACCCAAAAAAACAAAAAACAAAACCCCCCCACATTTTTAGACTTCAAAGAACCGCAAGATACATCTTGGTTCATTGTCTGGATGAACTTCACTTTATGCTATCCAAAATTTATGAGTACAGATACACTTTAGATAACCAGAGCTAAGTCCAAACCCTCTGCCCACTTGACCTTTTATATATAAAAAAGGCATATTTCAAGAAGAGGAGGGGTGTCCATGGGTGCATGGGTAACTTCATGAACTTTCTTTGGGTGGAGAGATTTTAAAGTCAGTCCTCTAGAGATCCCACACACTCCAACAGCACTATATTCAAGATCACTGAGGGCAATTCCTTTCATGTGTGGCTAAATCTCAACACTCTAGTATTACATCCCGTTCCTCATGTCAAATCTTCAGTGGAGATGCTCTCTCCTTGTTTTTGAAAGAGCTCTGGAGATACATGATTTGAAGATATTACATTGCCTCTCAATAGTGCCCTCTCTAGCCGAGTCCTTTAATCTTTCTTAAAGGTCTTATTTTTCAATCCTTTAATCATCTCTGTGGTAGAAAAACAAAGTTCTCATGCCTTTTTGTCTCACTCTGGAAGTAGGCACTGACTAGTTAAGTCCTCTGAGTTATATTTATATTTTTTCTACCCAAGTTCTACCTTTGCTGTTTAAATTGAAGTGTTGCTGTTGACTCATCATATCTTTTTGAAAAACAATAACAAAGCATAGTTATGAACATAGTTCAGAATAAGACATAGAGTGTACAAGTAAGCCAGAATGATCTTTTCTTTGTATTACTCTGGTTCCCTTTTGGGCTCCATTTCTTGGGAAAATATGAGCCTTGATTATCCATTTTCGCCAAAATAACATCTATTAAGGCAGGAATATTAAGTCCAGTAAGCAAAATGATTGTTCCTTTCATCTCCACACCTACTTACCTTCCAATTGACTTTTTATAGAATATTAGTTTGCATTAAAAAATCCATTTAATTGCATTGGAAAAACACTTTACTGCCACGCTCCAGGCTGATACCATGTTGCAGCTGCTCCTATTTAAGGGATAATTGTAGCCTCACTCTTCTACAAGGAACTAATTCTGATTTTGAAAGGATTTGTCCTCACAGTTTATCCTGATGAGAGAGGACTGGATTATTGCCGTGTAAAATAACTGAATAGTCCTATTATAGCTATTATGCCACAAATGTTGTATATTGTTGAAGATCAAAGTACTGTACCATACTCAATGGTGAGATGTACAAGCATGGCACACTTCCCATTTTATGTAAAAAATACTGCATTTTATGAGTCATTTAGTACTATGTGAAGTATCTGTGGACCCTATATCATTTCCTTCAAACTTTCCTCGTCGTTCTGAAATCCTTTATTTTCTGGTTGAAAGACTTACAATCTAGTCATTTCTCACTAGTCTCCCCAGGAAATAAACTCCAGTACTCTGTTCTCTCATTGCATTATATTACGTGTTGCATATCATTCTATTTTCCATTTAAATTACTTTAGAAAAATATTAAATAACTGCACAAAAGTAAGTTCTAACTGGTAAATTGAGAAAATGTAAATGTTTCTCATCAAAATGATTAATAATGTTTTTCAAACCTTTAAAACATGTAAGATTCAGTGTTGGTTAAGATCTAAGGAAACTAATATAGCTAGTTCACCCCCATGACCTTGTTAAAAAGGTAAACCTGTAAACACATGCATAACAAGAGGCCTTATAATATAAGGTGGCCTGTATGAGATGTCAGGTGAATGGAATTTAAAAAGAATGAGGCTTTCTTTTACAGGAAAGATTGAGACATCAGCTATCACTGGAAAACTCAGACTTAAGAGGAGGCCAGTGAAGGACTGAATATTTAGTTATAAAATATGGCATGCTTTGATATTAGTTTTAATATATGGCATTTCCAGATAAATCCCTCTATAAGATGTTTCATTCCCAGAGTCAATATGTAGAGGGCTCTACCCTTAAAGAAAATTTAGCTCCAAAATCTAACCAAAAAAATACCCTTTAAGAAGTGCCATATTTTTTGGTTGTTAAATGATTTTTATAAGACTCTCATAAATCATAGATAGGATTAACTATCTAGGGGATATTTTCCCTAAAGTTACACATGCTGTATGTAATTTGGAGACATTATACAAGATTTAGGACTTGCCTACATAGTACAAACAATCAGTAAACGTAAGATGTGGTCAATGAAAACAACTGCAGATTCGAAAACACAACAATTATGAAACTATAATTAAAATGAAGACGGGCAATGATAAGGGAACAAAATCAAATGCTAAGCATGGTTTGTAATTACTGGTTAGGGTTTCTAGTGTAATTTGTAAAACTAAACGAGACAGTAAAATTAAATATAAAGAAATTAGGACCAGGTCTAAGACATAGTAGGAATTGCATAATTGTCACCATCGATATTTTACATCAATACCAGTCAGGAGATGTTTTGTTCATGGACACACTTTTTCTGGTAATCAAGGTTTAAAAAGTTGCTAATCGAGATGGCCAAATTGTAACCTGGTCCCATGCAATAATTCATTCATGTTTAGTTGGGGTATCTGAGTAACTTGCCACACTCAATCTCTAACGAGGCAGTGATGATAACAGCTAGACCAGTGTTTCTCAATCTTTCTGGAAATTTAAAACCACTGGAGAACTTTTAAAAATTCCCGTGCTAGACCCTATCTGAATGAATCGAATCAGAATCTGTGGGGTAAATGCCCAAGCTTGAGTAGTTTTTTAAGCTTCTAGGGTGAGTCTACTGACCAGATAAAGTTGTAAATACTGCTCTGGGAGACTAGAAAATCATCTAAAGCAGAAATCGTTTTAAGTATTATTTTTATATGTCGACCTATACAGAACACATTGCATAGTGATTTGCCCTGCTCGTCTGTCTTTGTTGAATGATATATAAATGAATGACTAAGTGAACAAATGAACTTAGCCATGATATAGAGTTGAATGTCCTGGAAATCTAAAAGTAATATAATGCCACTCTACTATTTTATCTTCTAAATTAATAAGCTTTACTCAGAGGTTTAGCTAATTAACTTCTCCCAAGTTTTTCTTAGTAGTAAACCCATTCAATATATGATAGACCCTCGGTGGAGCATTATAAACTTTTTCAGATTATACTGAGATGCGTTCATGGTCTGCTTTCTATATATGAGTGATTGGAGTTAGAGCTTTATTTATTTATTTATTTATTTATTATCAACAGCTGAGTTGGGGACTCAGTCCTCCTCCTGTCTGCCTCCTTTGCTTTCACACTACCATACTCAGGACACAGCTGACATCAGATGTGTAGGGTTTTTCTCCACAGCAAGCAAATCTGTGACACCAGCTGGATGTCCTACAATTTAACTCAATTCTGATACTGTCTACCTAGGAAGAGCATCAGATCCCACAGGTTAAGGGCTGGGTTGCACAAGACTGCCCCCACCCCCCATTTCAGATACCAATCACACACAAAACCATTGTTACCTCTGCTTCTGACCAATGGCTATAAATCAAAGTTTCCCACGATCCCCTCCTCAGGTTTCATTAATTTGCTAGAGTGGCTGACAGAACTCTGGAAAACAGTTTGCTTACTATTTATCAATGTATTATAAGAGGATATGATAAAGATACCGTCGAGCATCCAGAAAAACATAGATGTGTAGGGCAAGGTACATAGGAAGGGGCATGGAGCTTCCGTGCCTCTCAGAACCACCATTCCCTCAGCACCTAGACTTGTTCGCCAACCCAGAAGCTCTCTGAACCTGGTACTTCTGGAATTTTTATAGAGACTTCAAGTAGGCATGATCGATCATTAAATCCACTTTCATCCCCACTCCTATTGACCTTCAGGGTCTCCTGTCCATGCAAAAAAAAAGTGATTAGAGTTAAGAGCTTTTAATAATCAATAATTCACATTCCCACGATCACACCATGCCATGCACAAATATATATATCACTTCAACTCTATGCACTGTATGTGGAAGAAACCAGGTGTTTGGTTAAGGAGAGGGATACCCAGGTCCCATGCATTTGGGTTTTCCTTCAAGACAATGTGGTAAGTCCGTGGAGCAAAATGGAGACATCATTACTTTCCCTCAGGTGTCAAGATGTTGAAAATGATATTGTTTCTGCCCTGAATCATTTCATCTTCCTGATGTTCACAGGGCCTTTAAATAGAAAGCAATTATGGGTTCTAAGGAAGTTTATAAAAATTGAATTCTGAAATGATATAAATGTTAGTGATAAACGCTGGGTGGATGACAGAAATTTAAGCTTAGAAATACTTAATTTAAACCTAAAAGACTTTTATTTGTAATTGTGGAAGGAAATACACATAGGCACATTTTAGGATCTACAATTGAAATTTTGAACGCTGATGTTACAAACCACAAAACTTCATTTATATTTTATTATAAAGATCTTTCTTCAAAGGAAGAACATATTTCCACACTCTTACTCTTTTATGATTAAATTTTATTTTCATATTTTTTAAATTCTATTTTATTATTAGTTTCAGGTATACAGTACATGAGTTAGACATTTATATAGTTTATGAAACAATCTCCCTGATTGCTCTTTCTCTCTTCTGGCTCTCCACCTAGCCATTACATTACTGCTGACTGAGTTCCTAATTCTTACTTTTATTTTGTGCCTTGAAGGGCCTGAACTATGGAGGTCCTCCTGAATCAAGTGGAGAGGAATTCTTTTTTCTTACTGTTTTCTCTCCCTACATCAGTCTCCACTATGTCTATCTTGAGACAGGAAGAAAGCTGGATTTTTGCTACTTATAAAAATGATGAAGGGAAGAAAACAATGGCTTAAGGAAAAAAAAAATGATGTTAAGGAGTAGATAGAAATGTTTAACAAAATGTTCTTAAAGGGGCACAGCCACGTTAATCATTAGATCATTTCTTATACTATCTCCGTAGATTTTCTTCCAGATCTCGCTGCTCGTGACTGATGCTCTCAACTGCAAAGGAGGCAACATACCTGTGGGAAAATTGCAGAGCAGTTGGTAGTGAATGTGCACTAGAAGGTTATGCAGGGTGGCAAAATGTTACTAGTGCCCTCCAGGTGCTAGAAATAAGTGGAACAGATGAAGTACTTCAGGCCACTTTGCAGGTTCTTGGGCCTTACTTAGTGTATAGGACTGCTCCCTCCTGGGAAGGTAAGTACTACCCATTTTTTTCTTTCCACCAAGGACAGAGCCCCGGGATAAATCAGTTGGACAGCGTCCAAGACCCTCCAAACTTTGCCAACCACCAGGAGAAGCAAAGTTGCAATATTCCGGATTTGAGAGGTAAGGCTAGAAAATGTGATTGGTGATTTCCTCATCCCACTTACCGACTGGAGAAATGGGGAGGCTGATTCCAGGTCTTCCGTGGGCCTCCAAGAACAGTTCTGGGCTTCCAACTATTTAAAGACAAGAATCTCAGAATGGGCAACTAGCAAGCCCACGTGCTTTCTCTTTAGCCCGATCGTGTGTGCTAATCATTGTTCCCTATTTACCTTTTGAGTAACCCCCGTCCTCTTTTCAGAGTCCTTAAGGCAGCGTTAACCTCAGCAATCCTCCAGTTGAACACAGATCACCTGGAAGTGAGGGCTGGAGGTGGGAGCCAGCCAGAGAAGGCTGACGACTCTTACAGCCCGTCCACACCTTGAGGTCCGTTCGCGTCCCTGGGGCAGTAGCCCAATCATAGCGCACAGAGGGTTCGCGCTCCCTGCGGGTTACGGGACCCCAGGAGCGGCGTTGCATGGAGCAGTGACCTCCCCAGGGACTGGGAGTAGGGATAGGGGCTCGGAGACCTGGCGGGGATAGCAGCGGAGGGGGCGGTGGGAGCGGGGTGGGGCCAG